AGTCTCAACATTTTGCTCTTCTTCTCAGACATCTAACACATTGTCTCACGTAGCTATGTGACTGTTGTGAAATATGCATGGAATATTGTAGTCCATAGTAGTGGTATAATGCTCCGGAGGCATTCTGGAGGCACCAGAAATCCTCGAGCTAGTCTTTACTGAATGCTTATAACCACAAAGCACAGAATCTCAGATGCAACATTAGTAAAAATGAATAATAGAAGTAATCAATTAATGTTTTATGTGGCTCTAAGGTATCATAGAACACAATATATAAACTGACGAATCTTCCACTACAAGAAAATAACAAACCTTACAAAAAAGTTTTTTGGTTTCCTTTAAGCCGCGCAATACCAAGCTCGTGTGTTATGCATATCACAGAAAAAAAAAAGGTCAGCTAGAAGAACTTCAAAAACCATAACATTGAAAAAGAAGAGGAACTTGGCTATCTTCATTGAGATTGCACATGTGATAAGAACCAATAACAACATATAGGTCATCTAAAAGAACCTTTAAGGTCGAATGCCTCATAATAGACCAAAAAAAAACAAGTAATAAAAATTTATTTTCACATGTGAGAAATAATACAGGCATAAGAACTGAAAATAAAATTGAGATTTAAAATATATCATTTATATAAAAGTACTGATACAAAAAATAATAAATATTTCCATAACACATTACAAATAAAGTAACAACAAGAAAATGCATGTCTCCACCATTTAGCCTCCAACAATATCTTCTGTAATTTGCTCCATCAATTCTATCATCTCCCTTGCACCTTTCTCATTCCGGGCAAGTCTCAGGCAAATCAATTTCACCAAGTGATAAAGATTGCCCAAGACCATATTCGTATGGTTCAACGAAGACATATGAATGATTTTCATCAGTCATATTGAAGCCAATGTTGTTGCACAGAGGATGACACTGAATATAGTTGTGACGAGTCATCATGACGACCAAAATGTGCACTTATTTAAAAAATAGATATGTAGAAATATCATGCAGTATAACCCATTTATTCTTCCAAACCCCAAATGTCCTTTCAATGACACATCGTAAGAAGGAGTGTCTCTTGTTGAACATTTATTTCTTACCCCGATTGACATTGTTAACCCTCTCAAAATTAAGAATGTGATATTTGGTATCAGGGAAGTGTTTAAGATATCTTATACGTAATGGATATTCAACATCAATCAAATATTATTTTCCTAGTGTAAAAAAATTACTAATATTGCACAATATATTAGTATTCATTTGTTAATGTTCGAGATAGCATGGAAGTGATTTCAGAAAGTTATACTTATGAGTCCTCATAGTAATTTGAAAATATGAATGTCATGTACATTGTCTTCCCATCCGACAATAATCACAAATGTGAAGCACATATGAAAATCACCTACAACTATCACATTTTGTATTGGTGATCCCATTGTCCAATGTATGCAATCTTTTTACTGTTGGAAACACATCCCTAAACATTGGTACATTAAAGACATTGCATTTAAATAAATTTTGAGAAATATCAACACATAAATATGGCATATAACGGTGGACTTGTGGAATCTACGTAGGTGTGCTTTGGAATGTAGGGTCTTCAGGGATGATAACTTTTGATGACAAACTAATTGAAACATTTATACCAACTTAGAAGTATATGTTGATAATTTCGAAAGAGTTTTAGAAACGTTCCATGACACCCCTCATGAACTTGTTTTTGTGATAAACTATAGAGGGTTATAATAACACCTCTCTTGAAGTCATCCTGGATGAGCCATAAAGACCATGATTTATGTGCAATTGCTCCAACATATTAGTGAATTTTGCACATGTCATTCAGAACATGTTAAAAATTGTGAGGTGAGTCACAAGCAACTCCTCAACCCATTTATCATTGTTGTAAGTAGAAGTCATGTTGAGAGATAGAGAAACTTATGAGTTGTAATGTTCATACAACAAACATGATTTAAATGTAATTTTTCTCTTACGACTTTCTTTATCTTTGTTATTCACGTGTAAGCAATTATCTCTAAAAAGAAAATTGAATCAGTTTTAACCGCATTTAATAAAAAAGATAACATATAATGAAGACTCTAGTGCAAGAAATAAATTTAAGCCTTCGAAATTAAAAAAAAAAATCCAAAATCCAAACAACATAAATTAGTCCATAAAACAAAACTAAAAAAAATACACACATCCCAATGGTTGTAATGATTTATTAAGTAATTAATCATATGTTTAGCTTTCATCGACATGAAAAACTCTGTCCTGGTCGAGTTTTTCAACATCTTCATGGAGAATAAGAATAATATCATCAATTAATCATATGGTTAGCTTTCATCGACATGAAAAACTTTGTCGTGGTCGAGTTTTTCAAAACAACTTTACATCTTCATGGAGAATAAGAATAATATCATCAATTTCTGGAGTATCTTCCAGAATTCTCATAACCTGCTAGATAGAAGTTGCATGTGACCCAATAGACTCAGTTGCATGAAACCACCAATTTAGAGACTTGACTTCTGATGAATGAGACACTTTCTTTTTTTCTTTTTCTCAACCTTAGGATGTTTGCATTGATTAGTAGATCTTCTTCATGTAGGGCGAGGTTGCACCCGTCATTGGACTTAACAGATTACTCCGCTTCTAAATGCTCAGAGCGGGCTCCATGCCCTCTCTCGCTTGGTGCATATGATTGTAGCTTTGTGGCCACCACTCTACCAAATATACAATCCAACTTATCTTCAAGCTTAGGGTCATTGCCATTGAATCTGAATTTTTTTGTTGCTGGCACCGCCTACAAATCAATTAATAAATGCTTAGATTGACCAATGAAAATGTTGTAACTTTAAAATGATTTTACATTTCAAACATTCTCACATCCAATCTTTCAGTCTACCATTCTTAAGAAGCATCGATGGTTCATTTTATAGGATCTCAATTTAGACTTTGTGGATCCTTGCTTTTTCTCTTTCCACATTTTCCAGTCATTTTTCAATTGATCTCATTTATTCTTAAATTGCATTCTATCATACTCTCTCCCACGTGCTTTATTTAAACATTTTTGTTATGATCTATCAACATTCCATGTTAAAATAAGTGGCTAGCGTGTTTTCTAACTCGACCTCTTTGACACAGAGATCACAACATATTAATGTCATCGTTTTATCCCAGATAGCTGATGAACCGATTTTTTCTGCCTTGCCCATTATAACATCTAGCATGCAAAGAAATAAAGAATACAAATTCATGGGAGATAAAAAAGTAAGAAATATAAACATCTGCAATGCCACCACTGCATCACAACCACTACCATCTTATTTATCAACACAACACGTTGCCTCTTACCAACACCACACCAAGACCTCCACACCGCACCACACTACTTCCTCCAAACCACACACCACCACCTTAACACCACCAGCCACCAACAACAATAGCACGCCACACCACTCCACCACCTTTACATCACCTACCTCCACAACATACCACCACCTCCACACAACCTACAACCAACATCAATAAAACACCACAGCTCACCACCTCCTTCAAACCACACAACACCACCTTCAGACCACCAACATGAATAATACACCACACCACTCCATGACCTCCACATCACCACACTACCTCCTACAAACCAAATACCACCAAAATCACATCACACCAACGACATGGCACTCCGAACAACACGATAATTTTCCCTTGCCAACAACCAAAACACAATGAAATTTCCCCATGCGAACCACTCTAATTTCCCCATGCCAATTTCCACATTATTTCCAAAAAATAATTTCACATGACACTAAAATTAAGGAGAGAGGAGGGAGAAGAAAGACACCCTAATTTCCCCATAGCAAGAAAAAGTGCATAAAAATTTAACAAAAGCATCAGTACAACCATCATCAAATCCATAACATCACAGTATAGCAAAAAAAAAAAAAAACAACAAAAAAATAAACATCACAACACTCTAATTTCCTTATGCCATCAACCGAAAAAAGAGCACTGAGAAACAATGTCATCACTGGGCACAAAGATATGCAATGCAAATAATCTTAAAAACAAAATGCCCATGTGTAAAGAATATATTGGGATTGATGAAGAGCCAATGATCCAAACAAAGTCGAAGAACAGAGGGGAGAGGAATAGGAGAAGAAAGACAGAGTCACTGCAACAATCACCTTAGAAGGAATATTGTCATAGAGGGGATAGTCGAAACCAACAAACACCACAACAGCCATCACATAACTGAAACCAACGACCATCACAGAAGAAATGTCAACCCTACCTACAAAGACAAAGTGGCACGTGAAAGTGAGAACTAACGTGGAGGTATTATAAGAAATATTGTTGCGAATAAATGCTGAGGTATCGAACCCATGACCCACATCTATTAAGCTTTTCAGTCCAAATGAGACTTTTAAACAAGCTAAACAGGAACTACAGCATTTAAGCTACTCCAAAGAAGCCCTAATAAGTCTTAATTTGTTTTGTGAATTATAAAATTGTGGGGCGCATCCGTCCATTTATTTAATATCCAACGGTCACTAATCACGGCCGCAGCAATGCTGACCGCATAAACGTCTGTCCTAGTTTTCCAGTCTACCTTCGTCTCTCCTCTCTCAACTACCATCCACCGACCAAGAATCTCTCTCCATCGACAGTCACTTTCCCTCTCCTCTCTGCTAGCAGGGAGGAGAGAGAGGAGAATTTGAAGGAACAAAAGAGGGAAAATAAGGCAAGAGTAACAGAAATGGTGATGTGGGTATTTGGATATGGCTCCTTGATCTGGAATGCGGGCTTTCAATACGATCAGAAGCTGGCCGGCTTCATCAAAGGGTATCGCCGAGTCTTTTACCAAGGCAATCATCTCTTTCTCTCTATATCTCTCATGCTCGCTCGCTCGCTTTCTCTTTCATGGTATAAGGCCTTACGGGTCATGAGTTTTAGTAGGGAGCACGGACCACAGAGGAACCCCAGCGTTCCCTGGTAGAACGGTGACATTGGAGCTTGCTCCAGATGATTTATGTGTAAGTTTCTTTACTTAGATTTAACTTTTTGTTTTGTTTGTATTGTTTGATCGGCTTAAGTGAAAGAACTTTTGTCGGTTATTCTGCTATTTTCTTGCGATTGTATTGCTTGTAGAATCAATTGTTGATTGCCGGCTTCCGTGATCTCGAGAATCATATTTATTTTATTGTAATTTTAAGATTCTTTTCTTGTTAGGGTTTTTCTCTTGGCTAATTTGAAGTTGTTGGCGATTCATTCTACAGGATCTTCGATCAAATTGTGTGCGCAGATTTAGTTTGGCTATTTGAGTGGATTCAATATGATTTGGCATCATCACTCACATGAATCTTGGTTTTCTTTCGTTTGTTTCGTTGCTGCAAAAAATCGAGCTATAAAAAAAACTTTGTTTTTTACATTTATACTGCACAAATATTCTATATCTCATCAAGAATATCACCATTTTAACTTTTAAAAAGTGAAATTAATCCTAGTCATGCCTAGGCAAGGTGGTATGTATGTAAAAATTGAAGTTTTGGTGTTAGATACGTAAATACATAGAAATTAAGTGGTATGCATATAAATCTTCCAAAAATAAAAGGAAAAAATCATGGATATAAATCTATATAAAAGAAGCATAGGAGAAGGCTACAAGCATCAATGCGTATCACATGACTAAAATTTGTCACATTATTATGCTTGATCATCCATATAGGTAGCCGGCCATCATTCCCTCATCAAGCGGAGATCAACTCCCTTTGCCTTAGTCCTCTTCTAGTTTCTCATTCCCTTATTGTTTCAAAAAAGGAGGAAAAGTATACCTTAATTTCGTTTATATTTATTTATTTTGACTTGGGCAATTTTTTATTAGTTTTTTTTTCTTTATGTGCTATCATATATAGGCATGAGAATCATATGAGCTTTGTGCATCTTTGATAAAAGCTTGTGGGAAAATTTACGTGCATATCGTATAATTCTTATGCATTTACATATTATCACCCAAAATTTGATATTTGCACTTATAACACCTTGTTCTCATAAACCCATGTATGAAAAGATGTATTTCACTTTTTTAAAAAAAGTGATAGTGGTATTTCTTATGTAATGTTAAAGATTTGAGTGATATGCTTGTAAATATGAATGTTTTGGCGTTAGGTAAATACATGGGAATTGTGTGTTATGTATGAAAATGCACCAACATTGTATTTGCAGGAGCTTCCCTTTCTCCTAATTAGTGACTAATTCCCTCTCTCTTCATAAAGGGATTTCAATTTTTGGCTAAGACTCGGGTCTATTTTGGGCAGCTGTAACTTATTAAAAAGCAGTTGTGAAACTGTTGAATAATAATTTGATGCTAAAAAAGCTATGCTGACTATTACAGTTTTTTTTTAAAAGCCAACTCGCAGTTAGAAAGTAGCCCCAACACCTAACCATGAATGATGGGAAAATGAAGATTTTAGTGGCAGTTTTTTAAAAAAAACTGTAAAAACACAGCTACTCAAACAGACAAAATACGGTGTTGTTCCGCACTGCCTCCCCAAACAGACCCTCTATCTACTTTTGTCACACTACTCGAGAACAATCTCCACTAGCAACAAGGCTCTAAAGTGCGAGGTAGGAATCCTCCAATGAAAGTCAGAGCCCTCTTTTTTAATCTATCAATTTTAGGGAAATTTACATTCCTCGCACACAATTCTTATGTATTTACATAACTCACACCTTAACTTTCATATTTATATACTTAGAACTTTGGTATTTTAAACCCATGCTTTAAAACATGTGTTTCACTTTTAAAAAGCAATAGTAGTGTTATTTTTTTATGGTTTTAGAGATTTGAGTGCTATGCATGTAAATATGAAAGTTTAGGCGTGAGATATGTAAATACACAAGAATTGCGTGCTATGTATATGAATGCCCCCTTAAATCTATCCCCTTCTTAATCCCAAATTCTCCCCTCATGCTTAATTGTCATTTGCTCCTTTCTTTTTGACCCAGATTTATCTTAAAGAAAGAATTACATACATAACACTTAGTTGCTATCCATCTACATATATAACACTTAAACTTCTATTTTTAGTGCAGGCCGCTTTATCCTTGCATGAAAATGTATAATTAACTTTTTAAATGTTAAAATAATGATATTTTTTATTTAATATGAAAGATTTGGGTATAAATGTAAAAAATAAAGTTTAGGTGTTAGATATGTAGATATATAGTAATTATATGGCATGTTTGTAAATCCCCCATTCTTAAATCACCGCAAACATTTCTCATCTTGAGGCTTTTCGGGAAACCAATTGCATGGGATTCCTCTTGCAATCTTTTCAGAAGGCTTCTCCAGTCATTGTTGAACATTAGCCACCAACATAACATTGCTATTATGTAATACTCTCTTTCTATTTGCAGTTTGCAAAAAGAATAACGAATATGACAAGATTTAGAAATGTAAATCGTGAAGATTATATGATCAATGGAAATACATTGAGGCTGTTCATTTCATATATTATGTTGTCACTTATTTATCATGTGTAATTTGCAAGTTTAATGCCCTTTGGTTATCTCAATATGCAGTTACACGTATGTTTATGTTACGGTATTGAAATTTGGTTTTAGGAAAATTTACATACATACCATTCAATTCCTGTGTTTACATACCTAACACCTAAACTTCTATTTTTACATACCAACCGTTTTACACAAGCATTAAAAGGTGTAATTCCACTTTTTAAAAGTTAAATGGTGGTATTTTTTATGCGATATGAAAGATTTGGGTGGGTGATATGAATGTAAAAAAGAAAAGTTTAGGTGTTAGATATGTAAATACATAGGAATTTGGTGTATGTATGTAAATGCCCCTTTTTTTTACTTTTAAATTTGCTTTGCATAAATTTGTAAAGTTCTGTTAGTGACTAAGTTGCAAATGTCTTTTTTTCTTCCCTTGTTTTTGCAGTGGGGTGTTGCTTACAAAGTTAATGGACAAGAGGATGAGAATATTGCATTATCAGTAAGATTGGAACATGAGAAATCTTTTTTGCATGCTTTTACGTGATATTAGAATGCCATCTTAAAAGTACATAATCTTGAATAAAGTTTAATGTTTCATGTCAATAGTGCAAGTTTACATTGCTTAATGTTGTTGGCATTCTGCTTGCATTGCAGCTAACTTCTCTTCCTGTTTTCTTTGTTGGGGGTGTAAACGAGTCAAGGTTGGGGGAGAGGAGTGTTTGTTTTTGTTCGACTCATTCAAATTTTTGTTTGGGTTTGAAATAGGCTCATATTTGAAATGAATTGTGCATAACATGTTCGTGTCTAACTTGATTCAAATTATTTTGCTCATTTTAGCTTGTGTTCGACACAAAATTAACTTGAATAATTTAAAAATAATAAAAATTCACATTTTTTTTAATGTACAACATAAAAAATAAACATAAAAATATAATAATATTGTTATTTATTTAATTATTTACTTAATTTGAGTCAAACTTGATCGAATAAAAGTTTATTATGTTTGAGTCGCTTGCTTAACGATTGACAATGAGTTTTTTTGAGAGCCCTTTTCTCTGTAGTAGTTTTCATAAAAAATTTCCCAAGATGAAGACCGAGAGAAAGAGTGGTGGAGATTGCATGTTGGTGGGACTTGGGGAGTCAATGGCTTTGGGGTTGGAGTAACTCTGTGGACCGTAGATGGGATTGCCTTTAAGGCTGTAACTATTCCTTCGTTGAATACTTGGCCACCAAAAGTCAACAAGTATGAAACGATGCTAGTTTTTGTGCGTTTAACTTTCCCTTGGAGTAAAAAGAAACGAAAATTTGCTTGCTTACCACACAATTCTTGTATTTACATACCACACAAATTTCTCCCTCTGATCAATATGAGTGAGGTCATGGGATAGAGCGGTTTTGGTATTAATTTTGTCTTCTTGTTGCTTGTGGGTTTGTGGAGAGTCGCTCCCTCTCTCGAATTGTAGATCATCTTTGTAACTTGCTTATTTGCTTTGGTATTAATCCATTTTGGGTTTCTTCCCTCCTAATTCTTGAGCTGTTCATTGATTTTAGCTCTAGCTCGTATCATAATCATTATAACTTCATAGTGAATATTTAGAATTTTGGGAATTCACAGTCAATTAAATTATTTAAAAATGATACTCATTAATATATATATATATAAATTATTTAAATATGTATAATTATTTCGAGCCAAAATGAGTCAAACACAAACAAACAATACTTTGTTCGTGTTCGGCTTATTTATATATCGAGCGCAAAAAAATTGTTCGTGTTCGACTCGTTTGCTTAGTGAATGAATCAAACACAAGCTACTTAACGAGCAGAACATAAGTTGTTCTTGAACAACTAAGCCATTTTGACATCCCTAGTGGCTTTTTAGTATCATTGTGTAAATAATAGTTAGGGGTATTTGATTTTTGTGGCATTTACTTGCAGAGCACACAATTATAATGTATGAACATATCTCACACCTAAACTTTCATCTGTACACACATAACACTCAAAACCTTAATATCACATAAAAATAATGCTATTAGCACTTTTAAAAATTAAATACACATTTTCTTGCACATATTTAAAGCAACAAAGTTCTATGTGTGTAAATATCAAAGTTAAGGCGTGGGATATGTAAATACATAGGAAATGTGTGCTATACATGTAAAGTTCCCATTAATTTTTACATGCTAGCTATTTGGCTGGATGACATCTTAAATGATAATTTTTCAGATCATATTTCAATCGTATTGTGACATTCAGGCATATGCGATATGTTGGGCTACATCATAGCTAAAAATTGGCAAAATCATTTTTTTCGCATATTGTGATTGTATTAAATACATTATATTTGATTTATAGAATTGTTATCTAAATAAAACAACCATGTTTAAAACAATATGAGCAAAGTTTGACTTATGAGTTATGTGGTTGCTTGTATTATAAGACTTTGTTGTTTGGTTGGATGAATGTGAATGCAACATAAAATTTTGTTGAATTCAAAATTTACGTCTTGGTTCAATTTTAGTCAATTTTGAAATTGCCTGATTTCCAAATATACCGCAGAAGTTGCCACCATCGTCGTTGTGGCCGCTGCCAGCTTATGCCTGCCATTTGTGCCTTTCGGTTTACATTGATTTTATTTTACTATAAATCAACCAAAATAAAATCTAAAATATTTCAAATACAATACATTTCAATTGTTTTACGTTGGGCCTCTCAGCTTATATCCGAGCCTCTATTATGCACCTTTCATCATAACCATGTTGAAATTTCTTGCCTTGTGTGTGTGTTTTTTTTTTAAATTATTTATTTATTTGCATAACCTTCTACTTTACAATGCAGTATCTAGAAGTAAGAGAGAAGCAATATGACCAAAAGGTTTATGTTGATCTTTTTACTGTAAGTTAAGGTTATATTTATAATTTTCAAGTTTATAATATCATATCCACCCCCCTTATTTGAACTACAATCTAAACCCATTTCAGGATTCATCCTCTCCAACCCCAGCTGTTAGTGGAGTTATGGTGTAAGTGATGATTTTTTAAGGGGTTTCATTTTACATACATACCTCCCAATTCCTGTGTATTTGCATACCAAACACTTATCTTTTTCACATTCATCCAACCCAAATCTTTCGTATCATATCAAAAATACCATTATTTTGACCTTTGAAAAGTGAAATTTATCCTTTTCATGCATATATGTGAAAATTGATGTTTACGTGGTAGATATGTAAAGAGAAATTAAGTGGTATGTATGTAAATCTTTCCTTAACCACCTTTTACCTACCTTGCTACAAATTAATTTGATGGACTTATATTCAGGTACGTTGCTTCACCAGACACGAAGGCCAACACAAACTATTTGGGGCCAGCACCAATTGAAGATATAGCCAAGTAAATTTGATTCTGGTTTTTTTTTTATTTTTTAAATTTAAAAATGCATTTATTTAGTGTATTTTTTGCATATTTTTATTTTTTTTTATTAAAAAAATCAAAAGCAAAAATGAAAATTTTGTGCAGGCAAATTATTAAAGCAGAGGGGCCATCTGGAAGAAACAGGGATTATCTTTTCCAGCTAGAAGAAGCTCTCAATCGATTAGGTTTCGTTTTGCTTCAGATTGCTAAGTTTATCAACTGATTTTTATTAGGGGTGTAAACGAGCCGAACACGAGCTGTTCACGAACAAAGAGTCCTTTTAACAACCCTAATCATATAGCCATAAGACATAAGACAATAAGAGTTTGAGCAAGATTTAAAAATTATTATTTATATTAAAATATCATTTGAATCTAATTTAATAATTTTTATTCTATTTTCTGAATCAATATTTTAATTGATTATAAATCTTTGTAACCTTGTAGTCAATTA